GACTCTGATTTTGAAAGTAGTCGTCCCTCAAAGAAGGCAAAAAAAAGGAGTCACCAATCAAAAAAGACAAAAACAAACCAGTGGTAAAGGAATTTTTACTCAATGAAAACAGATGTTCACCAGGTCATTACATCTATAATATCATTGGGATGAGCAAAGAGCAAAAAGAATGTGTAAGATCTATGGGTTTTGGAGCTTTGTTAAAAATGAAATATCACAGATATCCCACTGAAGCTGGGATTTATGTTCCTCAAAAATTTGATTCTGAGAGAATGGTGATAGATATTGAAGGAAAGGGAACGAAAGTAACAACAGAGTCTGTTCATGACATGTGGGGCATACCAATTGGGGGAACCAAACTTACAACACTGGATCAATGGCTAAGGATGATACAAGTTATGAGGAATGGAAGCAATAATTTAAAAAGATTAAAATCATACCGATTGATTGCAATCAAAAATGTTATTGTTTCTACCACACAAGCTGATTTCAATTCAAATTGAACTTCTCTAGTTCTTTTTGTCAACAACTTTTGCGAGTCAACGTCAATGGGAAGATGCAACCTGTTTCCTTTGAGTTTTTTCAAGAAAAACAGATATCAACAACATAGACTGGTGCAGCTATGTTTTGGATTGTCTTGTCAGAACAAAAGAACTCATACATACCATACTCCAGATAACAGCTTCTTTGTTGGACCTTCAGCTTTCTTGGTGGTAAGTTATTATAATGTTCATACTCATTTTTAATAATATTGATTATTCATAAACTAATAGCCATATTCATATATGATAAGAAAAGTTTACTTGTTGCACACGTAATGTTTTACATTACTTATTCATATATGAATAAGTAAAAATAAATATTACTTGTTTCATATATGAATATCAATTAGTATCATTTATGTGCAGTTGTTCTATGCTGATAACATCTACTCAGAAAACTTTAACGGTAACACGTAAACGTCCAACAATTTGTTATTGGATTCAGAGAAGATTAGATATGGAGAATTTGAACAAGAAAAAGGTAAATTTGGATTGGAGAATTAAATGAAGAATTTGTTAAATGAACAAGATGAAGGAGATACATATCTCGAAGACAGTGATCTGATAAAGATGAAGATCATTATGTTGAGTAATTAGTTTGAACATGTTAATAATATATGATTATATTAAATTCTAATCATACTTCTTTTTTATTACATAGGCATATGAATCAAAAATATCTAAAATGCTTAATAGTTTCGAGAGGATGAAGGAAAAACTGAATTCAAAGCTCAATGATGCGATAACAAAGTTCCCTGAAAAGGAAAATTTTAGGATTTTCAAAGAAAAGATGAAAATAGAATTGTTGAAGAAAAAACTGAAAGCACAACAACTTTTTGAATTTCCAAGTAATCAAACTGGATTTTGAAGGAATCAATTGACACCAATAATCGGTCAAAAAAAAATGATCAAAAAGAAAAATGAAGATAAAGAAGGAAATGGGAAGAAGAGAATGATAATGATGGAAGTCAACCAGAAGAAGATTA